AAAGGTTACAACAGCTTCGAAACGTCTGGAGCAATGTTCCCTTCCTGGTATGACGCTATTTTGGGACTTCCTAGTAAAAAAGAAAACCCGAAAACGCACATTACGACCTACGCAGTAAAGAGTCGTAACCATGGAAATTCTTGTATACGAGTATTAACTATATTTTCACACCTTATCTTCAAATGCTATGATAATAGCCTTTTCAATTCTATAATCATTTTAATTTATTCTTGATATTTAGGTTCTAAAATCTTGCGTCAAGGGATTATGCAAAGTTAAAATTTGTAGGTGTTAGAAATAATTACGTTTTGTATGATACTGAAGTCGTCTTAAATAATCAAAACAGGAAAACCATCCAGATATCCAGTGAATAGAAAAAATATCTCAATAATCTGGAATGTGAAAAAGTTTACTTTCCTCGACTTACAAAATTCACGTGTTATATCTCGTCAAGTAATGTAATCTACTGCTAAACTTGGAGATATCATGAAGAATAAATTGGCAAGGGTTCACATTGTTTCTTGAGTCATTTTACAATATTTTCAAAGAATGCTAATTTTCATGGCAATTTGGGGAGACATTTACGGGAAAGTTTTGAATAGTTATTTCTTAATTTCAGAACACCTTCGACTGGAATTATTTGGATAAGATATCAAATACCCGCTATTGAAAATATTTTCGTGCATCGTTATATTGTTTCACATTGTAGTATGAAATTGTCACCCTTTTATTTCACCAAAGTCGGAAAGTGAAATGGATATTCTAGATGGATTTGAATTTTACAGAAAGCAATCTACTGTATATGTTAAATGGCAGCGTTAATTGGCGGAGGAACATAATTTTCAAAGTTTGAGTATAAATTTCGTATACATGACAGTTTAAGTAATAATTTTAAGACTAAATTGTCGCCTACCGCCTTCCACTGTCACATATTAAAAAATACAGTGAGCCTACACTCTCACCTCTCTATTATATTTCAATTAGAAAATAAAACTGTGTTCTGTAACTAATTACAATACAATTTCTGTTTCTATTCTTCTTTATTGCTTTCATACACAAACTATGTATATCTTTACTATTATAAGAGGAAACTAAGCCTTTGAAATAGAGTATGCAAGATAAAATTTACGGTAAATCTACTTACTCAAAATTATTGGAAGAATACGAAGAAATAAAACAACGAAACCCGATTTGCATGTGTATGTCAAAGTACACAACAAAGTAGCAAGTACTTCCAAGATATTTTTTTTCTTTTGCTTCTTCTTGTAAGTTCAAGACGTAGGAGGGTGAGATATATAAAATCTGCTATGAAATAAAAGAAACAACAGCAATAGTTTTCAACAAGAAATACTACCGACGCCATGAAGTACACTGAAACTGTAAGCTCAGCATTAACGTCACTTTAATCTGGAACGAGTACCATAATGCTTCTAGGTTATATTTTAAGATTTGTACAAATAGTGTCTTACTTCTGGAGCCTGAGCATAGATGACACCCAGTTTAAGTTGAATGCAAAGATATGGAGTGAGTTTTTAACATCGAGGACGCGTGGTTAAATTTCAAATTAATAATATTATTAACGAACAATAGAATGAAAGTTTAACTTACAAAAGTGTGTCAGAAAAAAACACATGCACAAGATTAAGTTCGATAACTTATATAAAGGATTTTGTAAGAAAAAAGTAAATTGTAAACAACTCTCTCAAAGAACATAAATTGCAGAATTTATTTTAAATTGACTATAAAAACTATTAATATTATTATTGAATTCAACCCGACCCTTTAAAAGAATTTAAAACGTTTTGAAGACGAATGGATACACTAAATCTATGGATCAAGATAAAATTATAGTTGAAAAAAAGGAATTTATTTTCTCATAAAAATAGAGTTGTTAAAATTTTAAAATTAAAACATTTAATTAAATAATGTATTCGGATGTAAACAAAGTGTTTCAATTAAAAAATATTGCTTGACATTTGAAATGACTCAAACTTAATGATTACTAATTTTTTAAATCCTAATTTTTTGTTTATTTATTAAGAAAGAACTCAAGGACACGAATAAGTCAGTGAATATCCATTCCGCGCGCATCAACTACCTAGGCCATTAGTCTCGTATATAGAGACAACGCGTCCGTTAAACAGAACCCCGTTTTTCTAGATTTCTTTGGACAATTTGTAATGGTTTATATCATGTGAGATCCATCGCCAACATACACACCGCCCTGCGGGGTTTCGCCCCTTAGCAGAGCACCGCGCGAGTCTGGACAAGCGTTAATCTCTTGACGTGTGGTTGTAGTGTAATGCATTTAATTAAAAGTGTTTGGGTGAGTAAGGCGAGAGGAGAGAACAAGGAAGAGGAAAGAAAGATCGCGCGCGGTACGCGGCTCGTCTATTAGGAAACTACTCGTCTGATATTGATTGCAAAAACCGAGAAAACCAACCGATCACAACAGTCAGACGTTGGATTCTCCTCCGGACAGTAACTGAATTCGATCCAGCTAAGTAGCCAGAGTCGAACTCCGCCAACGTCGCAACTGGAATCCTAGTTCCTCCCGATGAACCACGCTGCCGAGGCACCGGTGCTGCCGCTGGGCTACCGCATCCTGTGAAGCGAACGAGCGCGGATAGAAAGGATTCGGCGCGTGCCAGAGGCGCCCCG